TTTAAATGGTCTTATAGATCACGCGCGTTTAATCCCTTTTCACACTGGTTTCAGTCAATGGTCAATGCCTCTTACGCAGATTACAACGGTCTCAGTATCTCTGAGAATCTTGATCAACAAAGTGTTAAACTACAGAACAAAACTCATGTATCCTCTTTCAGATGACCTCTGCTTGAAGAGAAAGATGAGTTCCTTAGCGCTGAGCCCAGAGAAGGGGGAAGCAAAGGGAGGGGTGGCGTGCAGCATTCCAGAGAACCAGTACAACTGGATGAGTTGTAGCTCGTTTTGACAGCAGCAGTATAGTAAATGACAAGCCCTGTCAGGTAAGGCATTTATCTTCCCGGGAAAAGCAGCCATTCCAAAGCAAGAATCTCAGATGTTGTCACATCAGCTAGGGCAAGAGTCATAAAGCAGGAAGGCTATCAATGCAGGAGGGACAGCGATATCTAGGCTGCAATTAGGAGGAGCTGTGAATGGGCAGTCTGGCTCTGAGCTCACGGAGGCCTTGACTTTCCTCCCTCTGGGCTTCGATGACAAGCCAAGTCATCAGCGGAGTCCTTATCAGCCATCTCGGAGCTCAAGCCTCTGAGCTGCCTTTTCCTCTGAAAGCTTTCTGGCAAAAGCTGCTCGGCTGTTTCTCGCAAATGCTGAGGAACCAAGAAAAAACTAAAACAAACAAGCAAAAAGCATCTTTATCCATTTCTTCATTTGTTCATTCATTCAACAGTACGGGTCTTACGGTCTGGGCACCAAGCTACGCATGTGATGATCACTAAGGTAGTTACACTTCCCGACCTCAGGAGAGTGAGATGCTAACAGGATAGACAGGCCTGCAGCAGGTACTGCGAGCAGCCATCATCTGTGCTTGAAGGGGGTCCCAGCAGGGGGACTTCGGGAGCAGGGAAGGGGCGATAGGCCCAATCCCTGGAGGTCTCTGGGGAGGAAGTGGAGTGTAGATTAAAGCTTAAAATAAGGTATGAACTGGTCAGATAGAGAGGTAGAGAAATAGGAGGAAAGAGCATTCCCCCATGTATAAGAAGATACCCGGTATGCATTTGGGGGAAGGATGCAGTTTGTATGATTAAAGCACTAAGGGGAAGGGGCTGGCAATGGAAACAGAACTTGAGGGGTGGTGGACAGGAATATCATTCAGAAGGTTCTGAGGAACGAGGGAAGTGAGCAACCCAGATGGCATTTACATGCATTTCAAATCCGTGGATTTAAAGGTGGCTTTCCATAGATACACTAAGAAGAGATCTAATGAAATACAAGATAAACGGAGATAGCACCAGAGAATCCTATAATGACTTTTTAAAAGCTGAATAATCATTAAGCAATTATTAAAATTCTATTGCACACACTAGTGAGTTACTTGCAAATCAGACAGAAGATACTTACTTTTAAGGTATGGTGCCTTCCACAGCCCCCTCACTCTAAGACATACGACCCCATGATTTTAAACAGCTAAAACTATAAAATTCAGCAATGAGAAACATTTCTTTTCCCTTTCTTCTTTCACTCCCTATGGTCCCTGTTATACTGCACTAGTCACACAACTATTAATTACACCCCACGCTGGAGTTAGAACTTGTTTAACTCCAATTGTGCTGCTCCCTAACTGTGTGACCCTAAGCAAGCTACGAATCTCTCTGAGCTCTATTTCCTCAAGAAACCCATCTCTTAGGGGTGCTGTCAGTACGTGGTGAGACGGTGTGTAAGGCAGGTATTTCTATGTCCATTTTACTGAAGAGTAAACGAGCCTCAGAGAGGTTACATGACTCACCAGGCCACACAGCTACACGACAACCCTCACACTCCACACCAGGGCTTCTGACTCATTCTGCACTAAGTCCTCTTTTCTGACATACTCCTTTTTGGAGGGGTGGGGAAAGTGGGGTGATTTTTCAATGGCAAATATAATTATGTTTCAACTACGATGACCTTTTGTGTGCTGTAGCAATAACAGAAGTTTTTGAATAAAGGCCAAAGAAAAGGAGAAGGGAGAATAATAATGACTGTAGCAAAAATAGCACCGGATGGACACTTAAATGGGTGAATTGTATGGTATGTGAATTATATCTCAATAAGCTGTTAAAAATAAAAAAATGAAAATAGCACTAGATACGAAGTGAGTAATGTGGCATTTAGAAGGGGTAAGATTTTGAGGAAGTTTTATTTGTTGCTTCGTTTTCTTCTCTGTAAAAGAGGGATGCTATTACCTGCCCTGCCTGTGCCAAGGAAATGAGATAAAACAGAATCCTAAATGGTACCATTCATCACGGTGCACACACGGCTCTCCTGCTCTCTGACGTCACTGAAAAGAACTTGGGGACCAAGGGGCTTTACTAATTAATCTCTAATGGCAAGTGAACCTCCTAAAATGCATAGGAAAAGAAATCTACCCAGCCTGAAAGCACCTGCTCATGAGGTCATCCCTTCTCAAAATACTGAAGTCACTAAAATATCAGCAGCAGGAAGTTCTGGAAAATGCAGATTACATGAGCTTGTTTCCCTGTGGCACAGTGACAACCTATCAGGAGGCTGCATTCTCCAACTGAAAGGCTTCCTTACCCATTAGCCCAACAGGTTGGTGGAACGTTCTGCTTTACTAGCCACCTGGGCCAAAGAATCAAAATAAACACAAATGTAGCTGGAGTTATGGAGGCCTTTAAGAGAATCCCACATCACCTCTGGTCTACTCATGTTCAAAGGCACACATAGTGTGCCAGACTCAGAATCAGACCTCTTCTGAATTTCCTTCCTCTTTCATGAAGGAAACATAAAATGAAATGTTACTTGCTTTCTCGTTCAATGGAAAGACCATTTCCACATTCCAAATCTCTGATTTGCTAGTTTCATAGAAATGAAACATCGATACCAGGGGCTTTATACATGTAGGGGTGAAACACGATTTTCCAATGGGTTTAACAGGCTGAGGTCATCTTTGCCCCAGTTCCTACATAGTGGTAAGCTACAAATCAAGCCATTTAGCTCACAGTCAGGTCCAATAAATCAGTGGAAAAAAAAATAAATGGGAAAGCATGCCAAAATGTAACCATAGTAACACCACAGATGCATCAAGAAATGGTGTGCTCATTTGCTTCATTCCCCAATTCTTAAATTGGAATCTAAGTAGGGAAAAAATTACACAGAGAACAATCATGATTCTGCAATTGCTGAATTCTGCAAAACGGCGTTCAACCTGCTGTACTAAAACTTTAGAGGCAACGATGGTGCAGCTACAGAGACAGGCCTGGATGGCCTAGGAGCCCCAGAGACATGGACCTGACCCTTTGTCACCTGGTCTCCCAGTGATTCTGTTTCCTCCTCTGTACAAGGGGTATTAAACATCCCAAGCTGCAAGGGTTATTCTAAAAGTAAAATAGGACAGTGCATCAGAGGCAGGGCAGCGGTGGACGCAGGAGACCTGAAGCCCTGGCCGTCTTTCACCTCGCTTTTACTGACTGACTTCAATGTACTGCTTTCTTGGTCTATAAAAATGAAATAATAATGCCTACTTCTCGCCCCTGTGATTAACATTAGGAATTATTGTTGCTAATATTAATATTCAGTATCAATCAATGAGTATTCCCAATTATTATTCCAAAGGCAAAGCATTATGTAGGATATTATTAGGATTATAGCGGTCAATTTCAATGCTGAAAAGCTAAAGAACTAAGAGCCAGAAATCCACACGAATACATCATGAGAACACCACCTCTGTCAAATGCAGCTCTCCATGCAACAAACGAGGCAACCTTGCGGCACTGGCCTAAGTTACCTTTTTCTCTTGGAGCCCTGGTAAAATGGATGGCAGAGGACTATTCTAGAAACTATCCTGGACTTAAGGCCTATGTCCTTGCAGATCTATGGCATGCCTTAGATTAGTTCTATTATTTCGCAGTAATATCAGGTAACATTAGCACTCCAGCATACCACTTGCAAAATATTATTTTTTAAAGAAAACCATTTATAGCAAACAAATCACAGCAGTAAGCAGGGTACCTTCAAATTATTCCTCCTTCGTTTGCTAGTTTAAAAATGCTATTTCTAAAAACAATGTCAAATTTTGAAGGACTGCATAATAGAAGAAAATAAAACTTCCAAGTAATAAAGCCAGAATCATTCTTTCTCCTTATTTTGAATGAAATTGAGTAGTCGTGTATCTTCCTAGGATTCCTACCTCCTAATTAGCTGTGTAGGAATCTAGTTTGGTAGTAATAATTCACTACAACTGAGCTGCCAAGTTAGCTACCCCATGGACGGACATCTTTCCTTTCTTCCTTCCTTCCTCCATCCTTCCCTGCCATCCCTTAATACAAAACCCCTGCTTTCATGGCCCTTATGTCCTATTTCTTGCTTTCTCAGATTTAGTCTGGTCTCATGGGTTTTGAGCTTTAGGTTTTTCTTATCTGTGGAAAACATTTCCTTCAAACAGAATTTTACTTGGAATCTGGATTTACGAATCTTACAAAGTCGGGGAAGAAGAGAGAATCCACTGAGGCAGTCCATCCATTGAGGGGCCATTGGGGACCCAGTGATCTCCACAGAGGTCAACTTGAGGGCCCCTGGCCTGGCCCACCCATCACAAACAAAAATGGTTAGTATTTACGGAGGCTTTGCCACGCCTGTACTTTGCAAAAGGCATGCGTGCACCTCATCCCACTTACTCCTCCTAACGGTTCTCTAGTCAGTGTGACTGAGATGTCCTCTTTACTGACGTGAAAACTGAGCCTCCCAAAGAGAGTGAATGTAGCTGGCATTACCTAAGCCAGTAAACGGCAGAGCTGGGGCTCAAAAACCCCAGTGACTCACTCTGCTCTGTGTTGTAGGTCCCACTGTCATTCAGGATCCCCTGGACTCACAGAGTCACTAAGTGAGTGAGTGAACAAGCGAGTGAGCCATTAAGTGCTCCAGAACCAGCTGCTGCACGCTTCTTTCTCCCCCCCGGATTTTCACACACGCACCCGGCCCTAAGACACCCCAAACTGGCTACTTACAAGGCACAGCATGGCGGTAAAGGTTATCTCTTATGGTCTGCTGGAGCTCATGATCAGGAGACCCTTTCTGGAACCGCTGATTGAGGAAATGTCGCAGGTCCTTGTTCAGCTTCCCTCCTGCAGGAAATACATAAAACAGACAGAACACATCAACAATAGGGCTTCCCAGAGACTGAGCAGTTTGAGAGCTGAGTGCAGAAAAGCCACAGGAAACCATTCCAGTCAGCCACCCTCGGTCATTAGGAGGACTTACTTTAGGTTTTCCTCTGCAGGGGAAAAAGCAACCAAGTATGTAATAAAGATAAAACAGCATTGAAATAGCACTAATTTCAGGGTCCTATTTCACATAATACTAGAAGGCTGAAATAACAAAGAACTTAAACTAGACTATTACATTTGAAATATGCACTGCAGACACTTGCAGACACTATTAGAGGGAGAATAAATGGCTGAAACCTCAGAGAGGACAATCTGGCAATAGCTGACACACTATAAAATGTTCTTGGACCAGGGATCCTATTGGTGGAAATGTGCCTACTGATAAACTTGCAAAAGTCGGAGAAAATCTCCACTACTGTTTACTGTAGTGCTTTTATAACAGCAAATGAATAAAAATAAAACCAAAAAAACCTAGAAACATCCACCAGGGATCAACTAAGTAAAGCACAGTACACGCATAAAATAACTACTCTTCGGAAAGCTAGATCCTCCTGTGTTAATATTGACATAAAACACGTGGAATAGTGCATATTGCCTGACCCCATTATGTAAAAAAGGAATATAGAAAAGGAGAGACCACATCGTAATGGAACCATCAGGAAGTCTGAACAGTTTCATTTATGGGGAAGAACTTAAGCTTGGAAAATATAGGAGGGGATGCCACTCTTCCTTGTGTAAACAAGTAGACACAGAGTATACATCTTACTCTCCTATGTTGATTTGCAAACCCTAGATAGATATTGCTTTTTTATTATTGTCGTTTGAGCAATAGTTAGCTGGGTGGAGCTATGCAGTTATTTCTCTACACTTAAGAGAACAAACAAAAGCTAAAAAAGTATTATAATGTTACAAAAATGTGTCACAGAAGGGAGAAGGTAGCCAATTTTCTTCTAAAATTATACACGCAAACTATATTCTACAGGATCAACAGAAGGCTTACAGATCAACCTAGCTCACCTTTATTCTCAGTGGGGAAAGATGCTTCATTGGCAGCTAAAAATAACAAGACTGAAATTGTCCTTCCATTTTTAGACAAGAAAAAAATTAGGTAACAGCATTTCTAGCCTTAGAGAAAACAATGCAGCGATACAGTATCCACGTGAGCCACGAAATTTAAGACTTCAGATGATCATTTCCCCATAGTCAAAAGGAGTAAATCCTAGGGCAGGAAACTGCTGATCATTATTTTAACATTAAATTCAAATCAAGACTCCCTGCCACAATTAGTTGATCATTTTAGAACATACTAACAAAACCCAATTTGAACTATTTTATTTGAGTCGTAGTATACCTAAGGTTTCAAGCAGGCAAAAGGCAAATAACATATATTTGAGTCAGCCTTCAATATTTCAATAAATACTCGATTATTCATCAGAAATTGACTGAATGAAGAAGACACCCACTCACCCCACTTACTTCCCCTCAAAATGGACCCAAGGTTTTAACAGTTTACAAAATAAGATTTTTGATTTGACACTAAGCACATGAAATGAAAAGATATATGGTATCATTAGTTATCAGAGAAAGACAAATTAAAACCATAGTGCCATCCTACTGCATACATGGTGAAATGGCAAAAAGGAAAAATAAGGACAATATCAAGTGTTAGTAAGACTGTAGAGCAACAAGTACACTGCTATTGAGTGTGTTAAGTGGCCCATCCTTTTGGGAAAACAATCTGGCAGTATCTTAATACAGTTGAACTTTCACTAACCAAATGACCCAGCAATTCCACTCTTACTAATGCAAAAGAAATGAAAACAAGTCCACACACACTTGTAGGTGAATCTTCATAGGAACTTTATTCGTCATATTACCGCTCCAAATTGGCAACGACCCAAATGTCTATCAGCAGATGTTTGGATAAGCAAACTGTATTGCATTCAAACAACTGGATGCAACACAACAGTTATAAGTAACAAACGACGGACACATAGAGTAACCTGATTAATCACCAACACATACTGCTGAGCAAAAGAACCTAGACACAAAAGGGAACATACCGTATGAGTCCATTTATATATGAACTTGTAGGACACGCTGAACTGTAGTGAAAAGCAGTTCAGGGGCGACCCGGGGTGGGGGTAGGTAGAGACTGCATGCAAAGGAGCATAAGAGAATCCAATCTATGGAGAGCATTGTGTCGCTTTCCAGCAATTGTGCTTTGGTTATCTGAGATGTTGCCACTGGGGGAATTGGTAAAGGGGTACACAGGTCCTCTGTGATATTTTCTTACAACTTCCTGAGAATCCACAGTGATCTCAAATAAAAAGTTTTTAAAAAGGGGGCACACAAGAGAACTTTTTTGGGGGAGATGCCAATATAGTAAATAATGATTGTGGTAGGGATGACACAGGCTTATACACTTACCAAAACTTATGGTACCATATATATAAATGGGAACATTTTGTAGTACGTAAATAGTCCCACAGTAAAATTGATGCCAAAGTTTAAAATATACATAATTATTGAATGACTATGTGGTAGGCACTATTCTACATGCTTAGTTCTCAATTTCTCCTGAGAGATGAACTAAAAGAAAAAAAGTACAACTTAAGAGTTAAGCAGACAGGCTTGGGTTGGAATCCTGGCTCCACAGCTTATTTGGTGATGAACCCAAGCACATTGCTCAATCTCTCAACTTCACTTTTTTCATCTGTGAAAATAGAGCACCGATACAACAGTAGCTCTGTCCCAAGATTATTGTGGGATTAAGTGAGATTCCGACAGTGCTGGGCAAAGAGAAAGCACTCAATGAAAGACAGAAATTTTCATTATAATGCAGAGTGGACAACTGCTGTGGCGGGTGGGGAAAGAGCTAAGATCAGTCCGAAGATGGACTATCACGCTTCTTAAAAAGTGCACATAAACATAAAACTGCCCCTATTCACATAGAAACAGCCAGAAGCAAAATACAGGCATAGGGGAATTTGGATTAAGGGATGTTTCTAGAGTTTCTGGAAGGGAATAAAAGTCTACTTGTACTAGAATTGTCTGGACATACATAAACTGGTTAACATTTAGTGCATATATAATATATTGTGGGCACTGTGCTGGAGTTGAACTTCAGAAAATGAAACCAACTGGCCAATCACTGATATCTGATAGTCACACCTGCCAACTCAACCTCTAGGTATAGGGGACTCTGGAATTTGACCACAAGGATAACAAATATTTACCAGCAATATCGCCATTGCCTAGAACTTAGGGCTTATTGTGCCCTGAGGAGACCACAATTCTAGACTTTAAAAAGACACTGACAGCCATCATTTGAACCATGAGTAGTAAAGATGTTAATGGGATCCATATGTACTGCTTGAGTCAAAAGCAAAATGCAGTGAAGATTCAGAATACGGTCTCTCTTTATCCCACGAAGAACACAGGTTCACACTTCCTTATGGTGCACATGAGACAACAACTATCGGGGTGGACCAGGGGCATGTGGAAACGGAAGGCATTCTTAAGACAGAGATGCTCTGGGTTTACACTTGAGCTTTACGGTAAAACTAGCCAAGCTAGGTAAAGTTTATGACCATCGAAGTAACACTCCTCTCCACTGTGATGTGCAAAAGGGCAGGGTTAACTATGCTTCCTGTTAACATTTACTCTGTGGTCCATGACATTTGTAAGCGGAAAGCCTCAACCTTCACATTACATTAAGAATACTGTACTTTTGGGCATCTAATCTCCAATTAATTGCCAATTATTCAGGGGGCATGTCTATAAATCGTTGCCCAGTTGTCCAGGGCAGTGAGCCAATGAAATAATACATTGCTAACGAGAGAGTTTGTCATAGCCTCTTCATTTTCTTTGAAATGCAAGATTTATTTTGCAAATGGAAAAGAGAACACAGGTCAGGAAGATGTGGAACTTTTTCCAAGAAAAGGGTTCAGAACTCATTTTAAGACAGTTTTTTCATTTAAATGAGTAAAAATGGGCTTAAACTCTGTCCTGGATTTGCCATTATTTTATATGTTCATGTCCATACATCTGGGATTCTGTATCTTTTAAATTTACAACAATGTGTGTCTGCTTTTTTCACTCGCAGTAGTTTATAGAAATTCAACCATGTCAACTGATGTAATTTTTTAATTGTTTTAAATGTATAATAGTCCATTTAAAAAATACACTAAAATTTATTTCACCTTCTTAGAAAACTAGTCTATTTTCAGTGTTGCTGACAATACGACAATGCTTCAATTAATGCTGTCATCATGTTTAAAAAAAAAAACAAATGTGTGAATTGTCTTTTCCTCTAATCCTAGAAGTGGACATAGGCCTCTTTAAGTTACCTACATATTGCTAAATTCTCCAAAATGATGGTTTCTGCCATGAGTTTTGGAGGTCCTGTTCCCCCATACTCAGGCCCACATTTGCTGTTATTGTATTAGGGGTCCCTCAGACCCCTTTTGGCTTTGGTTGTTCACTAGGAGATTCACAGGACTCAGTATACAATTGTGCTCATGGCTTGATTTATTATAGAAAAGGGGGACAAAGCAAAATCACCTAATGTTAAAGGCTAATTGGGCAAAAAAGTGCAAAGGAAATGGGGTGCAAGCTTCCAAGGATCCTCTCCATGCAGAGTGACATGATAATTCCCAGTGCAAGGATCTGTGACATGTGTGAATTATTGCTCACTAGGGACCCTCACTAGACACTCAGGGCCCAGAGCTTTATGAGGAGCTGGTCACATAGGTAGCCTCTGCCCAGAGCTTTATGAGGAGCTGGTCACATAGGTAGCCTCTGCCTGGTGTCAAACCAAACTCCAGACTCTCAGAAGGGACAAATAAACTGTATCTTTTGCGTCAACAGTTATAGCAGAGTGAGCCACTCTTGGTAATTCTGGGAGTGGAAGGAACCCTCCTGAATCTCAAATTCCGAGATTCCAGCCAAGAGCC